TCTTCTGCTTCCTCTCGTGCTGCTGCTGCTGCTGCAGCTGCTGCTGCTGCTGCTGGCGGCAGCGGCTGCCCTCTCGGCGTCGGCCTTGGGCCCTCAGTGTTTATTTCCTTTTTGCTTTTCTTTGAGCTACTCTTCCTTTCAATCCTTGTAATTATTTTATTTATTTTAATTATTTTAATTATTTTAATTATTTTGATTATTTTAATTATTTTAATTATTTTAATTTTAAATTAAACTCAACGTCGACTCCTCGGCCTCAGGCCTGGGGTGTATCTACAGCAGCAAGCAGCAACTTAGTTTTTTCTGTTTTTATTTTTCAGCAACTTTCCTCTGAAAATCATAATACCAACTCCCCTGCTGCTGCTGGAGCAGCTTCATGACCCTCCCCCCCTAGCGCTCCCCTACCCTCTGTGGGTCTTGGGGGGCCCCCAGGGGTCTCTTTACTAATTCCAAGAGCCCCCAGGGGGCCCCCCAGGGGCCCCGGGGGCCCCAGGAGGGGCCCCTGGGGCCCCGTGAGCCGTGGGGGCCCCAGGGGCCCCTGGGGCCCCTGCAGCAGCAGGGACTTCAGGGGCCCCGGGGGCCCCAGGGGCCCTGAAAGCCGTACATTTCCCAGAACCCCTAGGGGCCTCGGGGGCCCCAGGGGCCCCAAGGGCCTCAGGGGGCCCCGGAGGCCCCGGAGGCCCCGGGGGCCCCAGGAGGCCCCAGGGGCCCCGGAGGCCCCTGGGGCCCCAGGAGGCCCCAGGGGCCCCAGGGAGCCCAGGATTCCCAGGGGCCCCCCAGGGGCCCCCAGGGGCCTCCCAGGGGCCCCCAGGGGCCCCCCAGGGGCCCCCAGGGGCCCCCAGGGGCCCCCAGGGGCCCCCAGGGGCCCCCCAGGGGCCCTCAGGGGCGCCAGTTGCCCCAGGGGCCCCTCTTAGAGTTTGTTAGGGCCCCCGGGGGTGTTGTGGGTGTTTTTGGGTCTGTGGGGTCTTTTGCTGCAAATGCATGCAGTGGAGGTAAATGAGGTGTATGGACACCGCGAATGAGATTTGACGCGTTTGTGGAGGAGAGGAAAATCTAATTATGAATTAAATTTAAATGTGTATACATGTATTTGAATAATATATTTATATATAATTTATTTATATATTTATTTATATGTATATATATATTTATTACATACATATATATATAAACGTATATACAGATATTAGAATAATATGTTTAGATATATACATATATTTATATTTCTGTATATACATTTATATATATATATATTAATATGTATACAGATATTTGAATAATATATTTATACATATATATGTATATATGTATATATATATTTAATATATATATATATATACAGATATTTGAATAATCTGTTTACATATACTTATTTATATGCATATTTATTATATATATATTTGTTATTTATATATGCATATATATATATTATATACTTTGCAATTTGTGTGCATGCAAATGTGATGTGCCAGAGTCCAAAGTGTGTGGATAGTTTGGGCTATTTGGAATTCATATAAACTCAAAAAGACTTTAATGCATTTTGGAGTTTTAGAACTGCTTTATGCTGCTGCTGCTGCTGCTGCTGCTGCTGCTGCTGCTGCTGCTGCTGCTGCTGCTGCTGGTGCGTAATGGGAGTGTTATATACTAGAAGTTTGGGGTTGGAGAGATATCTGAGGCCTACGGGGACCAAATTGGATTTAAATTGAAGTTAAATGAAAAATTGAATTAAAAAATGAAATAAATTACTTTTGGAAAGCAGAATAAAGAAACGAGCAAAGAAAGCAAGGCTGGCCGATCCTGAAATCGGGCGTGGGCGCAGCGGAGTTTGGAGGAGTTCTGGGGGGAAAAAAGTTAATTTAAAGTAAATTTAATGTTTTTGAAAAGTAAAATATATTTGTTTTTGTTGGTTTCATTTAATTTTAAAGCTTTTCGCGCAGTTGCTGCGCTGCGGCCTCGCGGCAGCCCGAGCGCATGCAGCAGGCGGAAGCCTCATCGGCATCGATTCTGCAGTGGGTCAGTTTCTGCAGTTCAAATTTGAATTTAATGATTTAAATGCATCAACTTTCAAGTTTCTCGAGCATTTGCAAAGTCAAATCGGAATATTTGTGGTTTTCTCCGGCGGCCGCCGCCCCCACATTGAACGAGAGGAGAACCCGCAGGGGTGAGAGGGTCCTCCTGACTGCGTCTGCGGACCTCGTTTGCCTCTTGGCATTAAAAAAAAGTGAATTAAAACGCAATTAGAATTCAAATAGTTTTTATTTGAACTGAAAACTCGACGAATCGGCTCAGATCGCGCGGCTTCGGGGTGCGCGCTTCGGGTGTCTAGACAGCTGGCGGTCTGCGTGTGTGCTTCCTGAACAGATCCGCGGTCATTTTTTCTCCTTTTTGCGCCATTTTGCGCGAAATAGTTTCGAAAATGACAATTTATTCCAAAGAAAGCGAGCTTTCCGGCAGAAGGCGGCCGGCGCAGCACATGGTGCTGGTCTTCGACTTCGGCTCTCAGGTGTCGCGGCTGATCATCCGGCGCCTGCGCGCCGTTGGGGTGTACGCGGAGCTCATGTCGTGCACAGCAACTCTGGAGGTGAGTTTGAACTTTCATTAATCCCTTTTAGAAGTTTAAAAGTCTTCAAAAGTCTTCAAAGTTCAAGTTCTCGAAAGCTGCGGCTCCGGGCTTGCTGCTGCTGCTGCTGCTGCTGCTGCTGCAGGAAGTGGCTGCGGCGCGCCCCGCTGCAGTGGTCCTCAGCGGGGGCCCCTCCTCCGTGTACGAAGAGGGGGCCCCCCACCTGCGGCGGGAAGTGTGGCAGCTGCTGCAGCAGCAGCAAATTCCCATTTTGGGGATTTGTTATGGCATGCAAGAAATAGTGCAGCAGCTGGGGGGCTCTGTGGCAGGCGAGGGGCCCCGGGAGTACGGCAAGACGGAGATAACTCTGAGTCCCTTGCCTGCGGAGCCTGTGCTGGACGCTGCTGCTGCTGCTGCTGCAGCAGAGGCCGCAGCAGCAGCAGCAGACGCAGCAGCAGCAGCAGCGCCGGACCACTGGTCAGTCCCTGCTGCCCACGGCCCCACACCTTTTCTTGCAGACCTTTTCTATGGAATTGAGGGGCCCCAAGTGACAGTCTGGATGAGCCACGGAGACACAGTCCAGAGTTTGCCTTCTTCATTTACAGTGAGTCATTTCTGGCTTTTTACAAGTCCTTTTAACTCCTTTTAGCTCCTTAAACTCCCTTTGCTGCTGCTGCTGCTGCTGCAAACCCTAAATTAGGGTTTCCCGAGTCATTTCTGGCTTTTTACAAGTCCTTTTAACTCCTTTTAGTCCTTTAAACTCCCTTTGCTGCTGCTGCTGCTGCTGCAAACCCTAAATTAGGGTTTCCCGCCTTTGCTGCTCCCGGCGCTGCTCCCAGCAGCTCTGGGGTGTACGTACACCTCTCGGGTGTACGTACACCTGGCGGCTGGAGAGGCAGCAGTGCATGCATGCAGAAGCAAATGATTTGCTGCAGCAGTTAATGAAGAAGATATTTGATTTGCTGCAGCAATTATTAAAAAGTTGTTTAATCTGCTGCAGCAACTCACCAAAAAGAGGTTTAATCTGCTGCAGCAGTTAACTAAAAGAGGTTTGAGCTGCTGCAGCAAGTGGCGAAAAGGGGGCAAATGTGCTGCAGCAACTGGCCGAGTCGTGTGCAGTTTGCTGCTGCTGCTGCTGCTGCTGCTGCTGCTGCTGCTGCTGCTGCAGACGCTGGCGTCCACAGCGAACTGCCCCATTGTTGCTGCTGCTGCGCCCGCGAGGCGTCTGTACACCCTGCAGTTCCACCCCGAAGTGACGCACACGGCCTGCGGCGCGCAGCTGCTGCGCAACTTTGCGCAGCGCGTCGCGCGGCTGCCGCTGCAGTGGGGCATGCAGAACTTTTTGCCGCAGCAAATTGAGCTGCTGCAGCAGCAAGTGAGCGGCCGCGAAGTCATAGGGGCGCTCTCGGGGGGCGTGGACTCCACAGTGGCTGCTGCGCTGCTGCACCGCGCCATCGGCAACAGGTTCCACGGCTTCTTCATCGACACCGGGCTCCTCAGGTCCGCGCGCTTTTTTCGCATTTTTTCCCAATTCATAACTTTATTTCCATTATTTTCTTCTTTTCCGACTTTTATTCCCCAAAAAACGCGAAAAATGACCCCAAATTACCCCCGGATCGCGCGCCGCGAAAGCTGCACAGACACCCCAGCTGCGCATACACCCCAGAGCTGCGCATACACCCGAAACGCATTTCAGCTTTTCCGCAAATGCGTCCTCTTGAAATGACCAAATGCCCCGACAATTTAATTAATTTAATTAATTTAATTAATTTAATTTGTTTAATTAATGTTTCTTTGTGTTTGCGTCAGGA